GAGGTATTGCAGGGAGTGTCCTCTGACTCCATAATGATGTAATTTAAGAAGAAGGTTTTGGTGGTTGACAGTGTCAAAAGCTTTACGCAGGTCCACAAATAACCCAACAGGGAGCTCATTTTTATCAAGAGCTGTATGAATCGAGTTAAGCATACTAATAAGTGCATCGTTAGTGCTTTTTTGGGTCTGAAGCCATATTGGCAAGGGCTAAGTATATGTGTTTGGCCAGATACGAGTAAAGCTGCTTATAGATTAGTTTTTCAAAATATTTTGACAAGTTTGGCAGGATTGATATAGGTCTGTAGTTGTTAACATCTGTGAGATCACCACATTTGTGGACAGGTGTTACTCTCGCTTTTTTTAGAATATCTGGAAAGGTTGGAGTTCAAGTGACTTGTTGAAGAGCAATGCAATAGCAGGGGCTAAAGATCTGGAGGCTTTTTGTAAATTAAAGTTGGTATCTCCTCAAGGGCACTAGACTTAGTTTTAAGGGAAAGGATTATCTCATTGACGTCAGTGGAATTAATAGGCTTTAGGTACAGAGACTGTGGATAGTTACCTGTAAGATAGTCCTTAACGTCAGTACTGGAAGATGGAATATCATTTGAAAGGGATGACCCAATGGAAGAGAAGAACCTATTGAACTCAATAGCAGAATCAGAGGCTGAAAGCTGACCATCGTTACTGGACAGGAGTGTTGGTTTGTTATTTAAAGTCTTCTTTGATCCAATATTTGGGAAATTGTGCTCCAAGTTTTTTAATGTTGCTCTTATTTGGGTAAATTTATCTTCGTAGTATTTAGTTTTGGCTCGTCTAATTATCTTAGATAGCAATAATGAGTAATTCTTTGAGAATTCTTTGGAGACAATTCCTAACCTATACTTCTTCTCAAGGTCATGTTTTTTATTAATGGATTTAAGTATTCCCTTTGTAAGCCAGGGATTGTTAAGCCTTTTGGTTGTGACTTGTTTTGTAAGCATAGGACAGTGGGTGTTATAAAGGCTAAGAGTTTTTAAAGAAAAGATTGCATTGCTAGGTTGATGTCCACTATGTTACCTAACTCGGACTCCCAGTTGACATTATCAGCAGCAGTTATAAAATTGTATATAGCAGTTTCATTGTGCAGTCTAAAACTTAACTCTCTTGACTCTAGAGGTGGTTTGCTAATGTTAGTTAAGAGAAATGTGGGGTAATGGTCTGTAGTGCTATCGGTGATTATACCTGAAGTAAGCGGAGAGGTTATGTTTGTCCAGATGTGATCTAGAGTCGTGGCAGTGCTATCAGTGATTCTAGTAGGTCTAGTGATTAAGGGTATGAGGAAGCAGGAATTCATACAGTTGAGGAAGCTAACAGCAGTAGGGTGTTCAGGCTCGCAGAGGTCAATATTAAAGTCCCCTGCGATAATTAGATGGTTTTTGTTCAGTCTGTTATCAAGTATTAGATTTCTAAGGTTTGAGTTGAATTCGGACACATCAGTGTTAGGAATTCTATAGACTGCACCCACAGACAGGACAGACTCGGCACCCTTGAATCTGAAGCTGGCGAAGATATACTCCCCATAGCAGTCTCTAGTTCTAATTTCTTTTAAGCATGTTAGTTCTTGGTGGTAGTAAAGAGCAGTGCCACCACTTCTCTGAAGTTGACGACACTTGTGAATTGCCGAGTAGTTAGGCATGTTAAAGAGTTGAGTAGTATCCTCTTTCAACCATGTTTCAGTAAGTATAATAAAAGAGAATTTGTTGTCAATAGTTTCAATCAAGGCACTAACATCATCGAAGTGTTTACCTAGGGATCTAACGTTCAAGTTGATTACAGAGATATTGTGATTATGAGTTAATACATTGTTTACATCATGTGCTGCAAAATATCTGCAATTTAGATCATTAAAGTGATGATTGTCATAGATAGTGGATAAGAGGTTTAGTTCTGGGTCTATACTTGTCTGCATAAAAAAGCTGGTTGCAGGAAAACAAGGCAAGAAAGGCAAATTACAAAGTAGAATTAAGCTATAAAAGGGGGAAAAATTTATAAAACAATAATATACAAAACAAACACAATATGAACAACAAAAGAAAAAAATGAGGTAGCTTACAAGGGGCTTACAGGGGTACAATGGAGTAAGGGAGTATGGCGAGGCTAGGCAACCTAGGTAATAAATGAAGTTAAAGAAAAAACATATAAACATGGACTATACAAAACAAAAGATATAAAAATACAAAACAAAGATATAAACACGACTATACAATACAAAAACAAATTGAGCAAAAAAAAAGAAAAAATAAGGTAGATTGCTTACACGTACTCTTAGGTACACTGTAAGTAACAATTTGCAATTTGAGATACAGGCAAAGCCAGGGGTACAATGGAGCAAGGGAGTAGATGAGCGTAAATTAACAGACATAGCCCCTCTACACAAGGAAGGAAGCAAAGTATTGTTAATGAATAATATTCCAGTTGTACTATCGTCCCACATAACAAAAGTATTTGAGAGAGAGTGATTGGAGTCAGTTCACCAGTTTCACAGAAACCAATGACCTTCACAACCCAGGCCATCATGGATTTAGAGCGGGAAGATCATGCCTGCCACAGCTACTTGACCATTACGACAAAATCACTGATTCATTAGAAGAAAAACAGAATGCATATGTGGTATACACGGACTTCGCAAAGGCATTCGATAAATGTGAGCATGAAGTGATAGCACACAAAATGAGGTAAATGGGAATAACTGGTAAAGTAGGACGGCGGATACTCAATTTTCTGTCGAACAGAACACAAAGAGTAACAGTCAACATAATAAAATAGAGTCCACGCGCAGTTAAAAGCTCTGTACCTCAGGGTACAGTCCTTGCACCACTGCTGTTCCTTATTGTCATATCAAATATAGGAAAAACCACAATTCACAGCTTCGTATCATCCTTTGCAGATGACAAAAAAATCAGCACGAAAATTACCTCTGCTGAAGATATTGAAAAACTACAAAGCAGATATTAGTAAATTTTTTGACTGAGCAGCAGAAAATACAATGATATTTAACAATGATAAAATCCAAGTACTCAGGTACGGTAAAAATGCATAGCCAAGCAAATATTGTGTCAGCCAGAAAAATGATAATGGATGGATTACGAGAACTTTCAAATCCCGGGATCCTATCACAATGTTTGTACTATTAAAATCACTTGTGTTGTCCCGTCTTGAGTACTGCTCGGTACTCACTTCTTCCTTCAGAGCAGGAGAGATTGCTGAAATAGAGGGAATTCAGAGAACATATACGGCACGCATAGACGCGATAAAGCACCTAAATTATTAGGAGCGTCTCAAAGCTTTCCAAATGTACTCACTAGAAAGAAGAAGAGAGAAATTTCAAATAATATTCACGTGAAAAATACTGGAGAGCCAGGTCCCAAATCTATACAGTAAACTAACAACATACTGGCATGAACGATATGAAGAAAATTAAAAATAGGCCCAGTGAAGAGCGGGTACCATAGGCACTATCAGACAACACTGTAGAGGTCCACGGTTGTTCAACATCCTACCAGCAAGTATAATAAATATTGCCTGAACAATGGTGGACATTTCCAAGAGAAAACTAGATAGTTTTCTTCAAGAAGTGCCGGACCAACCGGGCTGTGGTGAATATGTGGGCCTGCGGGCCGCTCCAAGCAACAGCCTGTTGGACCAAGTTTTCACAAGTCAAGCCTTGCCTCGGGCCGTGCTTGACTTGTGAAAGTTCTGGGAGTAAAAAAACACCCAGAACCTCATCAAGCAGGTGTCAGATATCATGAAGAATGTATGAAACTAGTATTGATGGAAGGACCATAAAAATGTTTGAAACTTGTGTTGATGCGAGAGCCCTGAAGAATATATGAAACTAGTGTTGATGGGAAGAATCATGAATAATGTACTCACCTAGTTGTGCTTGCGGGGGTGGAGCTTTGGCTCTTTGGTTCCGCCAATGAAGAATGTATGAAACTAGTGTTGATGGGAGGGCCATGAAGAATGTATTTACTATTTGAATCTGCAGATTGGAGCTATTAGCTCTTAGACCCCAACTTTCTAACCAATTTATTTTTCCTCTATTATGTCTACTACATATATTTCTCGCTTATCACACGCGCACACACACACACACACACACATTCCCAGGAAGCAGCCCGGAGCAGCTGTCTAACTCCCAGGTACCTATTTACTGCTAGGTGAACAGGAGCATAAGGGTGAAAGAAACTCTGCCCATTTGTTTCTGCCTCTGCCGGGGATCGGCCCTTAGGACAACGACCTCAGAGCGCTGTCCATTCAGCCACGAGGCCCCAGTCCATGAAGTGAATATGTTTGAAACTAGTGTTAATTGGAGGGTTAAGAAGAATGTACGAAACTAGTGTACGTGGGCAACCCGTTCTCGCAAATTTTAATAAGTCAATATTGACTTATTAGTTGCGTGCATAGGTGACATACTAAACATAATAGTTTACCTTGAAAAGCTTCATAGAAAACACCGACCTTACCTAACCTACTTAGTATGTTAAAATAAGCATCTTATAGCTTCGTAATTACAATTGTTACTTAACCTATTATAGGTATAGGTTAGGTAATAATTGTAATTACGAAGCAATAAGATGCTTATCTTAACATACTAAGTAGGTTAGGTAAGGTCGGTGTTTTCTATGAAGTGACCTGGGAGAGCCATTAAGAATGTATGAATATCGCGTTGATAGGAGAGTTAGGAATATCTTATAAAATGTCGTGTTGATTGAATAACCAGGCACACGTTTTTGAATTTATTTTCTGCTGTCAGAGCATTTCGCAATGGCTATGTTGAATAATAAAATGAATTTTTTTTTTACTCAGCTTAGCTTTATTAGCTTCTCCCGTATGTGATTTTTTTTGTTAAATTCTCGGGTTTTGATTGATCAAGAAGTGGGAAAGTTATAAAAAAAAGGTTAAAATGATTAAACATTGGTAAAGTATTTATTAACATTGTAAATCAATAAGAATATTCCTCAATGTGGAGGAAATAATGTCTTCAATGATTTTGGCTTGTGTTTTGTACCGGCACGTTCACTGTAGTCTCCACGGTGCTCACTGTAGTCTCCACGGTGCTCACTGTAGTCTCCACGGTGCTCACTGTAGTCTCTACGGTGCTCACTGTAGTCTCCACGGTGCTCACTGTAGTCTCCACGGTGGTCACTGTAGTCTCCACGGTGTTCACTGTAGTCTCCACGGTGTTCACTGTAGTCTCCACGGTGTTCACTGTAGTCTCCACGGTGTTCACTGTAGTCTCCACGGTGTTCACTGTAGTCTCCACGGTGCTCACTGTAGTCTCTACGGTGCTCACTGTAGTCTCCACGGTGCTCACTGTAGTCTCCACGGTGGTCACTGTAGTCTCCACGGTGCTCACTGTAGTCTCCACGGTGGTCACTGTAGTCTCCACGGTGTTCACTGTAGTCTCCACGGTGTTCACTGTAGTCTCCACGGTGTTCACTGTAGTCTCCACGGTGTTCACTGTAGTCTCCACGGTGTTCACTGTAGTCTCCACGGTGTTCACTGTAGTCTCTACGGTGTCCACTGTAGTCTCCACGGTGTTCACTGTAGTCTCTACGGTGTTCACTGTAGTCTGTTCCTCCTAACGTGGCCATATAACTTGCCTGCATCAATTTAGCATCACTTTTATGTGGAAATTTCTGTGTTATGAAAACAAATGCTGGACTTCTTTAATAATGGCCTTGACAACATTTTTCATCAATCCAAGTTTTATATGAAGAGTTGAGAGCAAAATTTAACGAGGATTGACTAGAGGTTCACAACCACTTCGTATGAGCCAGATTGAGGGGTTCTCGAGATGGCCATTCACTCTCCTCATAATTTTTTTTTATAATGTTTGTCATATGCTCGTCTTTTCTATAAAAAAAACACGGGTGTAACCTCTTTAAATTCCTAATATTAAGAATACTGCCTGAAAAATATATAAAATAAATATTCTAAAATTCGTGGTTAAAATGAGTTAAACAAAAGTTATGAGGTAAATGTGAACGTAAAATATATGGAAAGGTATTTTAATATTTTTTTACCTTTAAATCTCCGCAGAACTTCAAATTGTGACGATTGTGCATCAGAATTGTGCTTAACACATCTTCAGGAGGATCCTATTGGAGACGTACTGATTAATACGAAAGTACTTGAGGAATTTCCTATCTCATTTTTTCATACGTGGTCAACAGTGTCGTGTTATTCATCACATGTTAATTACTTCGTAATTTTCAAACACACACACACACACACACACACACACACACAACACACACACACACACACACACACACACACACACACACACACACACACACACACACACACACACACACACACACACACACACACACACACACACACACACACACATCACCCCCATTATTAGGAATTATCACCCCAAAAAAGAACTGGGAACCAAAGGGCTGGCGTACCGAAAGGGAAACTATGAGGAGATGAATAAATTCCTATGGGATATACATTGGGACACAGAACTCAGAACCAAGTCCGTACAAGACATGATGGACTATGTCACCCAAAAATGCCAGGAGGCTGTAAGCAGGTTTGTCCCAGCCCGACAGGAAAAAACAGAGAAGCAAAGGAAGAATCCGTGGTTTAATAGGGAATGTATGAAAGCAAAGGAGCAGAACAAAAGGGCATGGAGGAACTTCCGTAATAACAGAACACCAGAAAGTAGAGAGAGATACCAGAGAACCAGGAACGAGTATGTTAGTGTGAGAAGAGCAACTGAGAAAAGGTATGAAAATGATTTAGCTAATAAAGCCAAGACCGAACCAAAGCTACTACACAGTCACATCAGGAGGAAGACAACAGTGAAGGAACAGGTGATGAAACTTAGGGTGGGCGAGGACAGGTACACAAAGAATGACAAAGAGGTGTGTGAAGAACTCAACAAAAGGTTCCAGGAGGTCTTTACAATAGAACAGGGAGAAGTCACGGCGCTAGGAGAGGTGGCAGCAAACCAGGTGACCTTGGAAAGGTTCGAAATTACAAGAGATGTCAAGAAGCACCTATTGGAGCTGGATGTGAGAAAAGCTGTTGGGTCGGACGGAATCTCACCATGAGTATTGAAAGAGTGTGCAGGAGCACTTTGCTTGCCACTCTCCATAGTGTATAGTAGGTCACTGGAAACGGGAGACCTACCAGAAATATGGAAGACTGCTATTGTAGTACCAATATACAAAAAGGGTGACAGACAGGAGGCACTGAACTACAGGCCAGTGTCCTTAACTTGTATACCATGCAAGGTGATGGAGAAGATTGTGAGAAAAAACCTAGTAACACATCTGGAGAGAAGAGACTTCGTGACAACCCATCAACATGGGTTCAGGGAGGGTAAATCTTGCCTTACAGGCTTGATAGAATTCTACGATCAGGTGACAAAGATTAAGCAAGAAATAGAAGGATGGGCGGACTGCATTTTTTTGGACTGTCGGAAAGCCTTTGACTCAGTACCCCATAAAAGGTTGATGCATAAGCTGGAGAAACAGGCAGGAGTAACTGGTATGGCGTTCCAGTGGATAAGGGAGTACCTAAGCAATAGGAAGCAGAGAGTTACAGTGAGGGGAGAGACCTCAAAACGGCGTGAAGTCACCAGTGGAGTCCTACAGGGCTCTGTGCTTGGACCTATCCTGTTTCTGATATACGTAAATGATCTCCCAGAGGGTATATACTCATTACTCTCAATGTTTGCTGACGACGCCAAAATTATGAGAAGGATTAATTTAAGACAGAGGAGGACAGCTTGAGGCTTCAAGAAGACCTGGACAAGCTGCAGGAATGGTCGAACAAATGACTGTTAGAGTTTAACCCAAGCAAATGTAATGTAATGAAGATAGGGGTAAGAAACAGGAGACCAGATACAAGGTATCATTTGGGAGATGAGATACTTCAAGAGTCAGAGAGAGAGAAAGACCTGGGGGTTATATCACGCTAGACCTGTCCCCTGAAGCTCATATCAAGAGGAGAACATCAGCAGCATATGCCAGGTTGGCTAACATAAGAACGGCCTTTAGAAACTTGTATAAGGAATCTTTCAGAACATTATATACCACATATGTCAGATCAATCCTGGAGTATGCGGCACCAGCATGGAGTCCATATCTAGTCAAGCATAAGACTAAACTGGAAAAGGTTCAAAGGTTTGCCACCAGACTAGTACCCGAGCTGAGAGGTATGAGCTACGAGGAGAGACTATGGGAATTAAACCTCACTTCGTTGGAAGACAGAAGAGTTAGGGGGGACATGATCACCACATTCAAGATTCTCAAGGGAATCGACAGGGTTGATAAAGACAGGCTGTTTAACACAAGGGGCACACGCACTAGGGGACACAGGTGGAAACTGAGTGCCCAAATGAGCCACAGAGATATTAGAAAGAACATTTTTAGTGTCAGAGTGGTTGACAGATGGAATGCATTAGGAAGTGATGTGGTGGAGGCTGACTCCATACACAGTTTCAAGTGTAGATATGATAGAGCCCAATAGGCTCAGGAACCTGTACACCTGTTGATTGACGGTTGAGAGGCGGGACCAAAGAGCCAGAGCTCAACCCCCGCAAGCACAACTAGGTGAGAACTAGGTGAGTACACACACACACAATAAGTATATGGAGCACCACTTGGCAAATGGAATTTAATGTTAATAAATGTCCATGTTATG